AAAAGATGAAGAAATTGAAGACTCAATGGAATCCTAACTGTTATATCACTTCATGCGCTATCAAGATAAACAACTCATATATTTTGGCCTTAGGGGTCTATTGGTTGGCACAATTGGGAACGATGGTATTTAATTGGAAGAAATTAACAATGGAATTTTAATGGGACAACAAACTCAATGATTGTGAGGGATTGATGCACAATTCGTTTAATCTATATTTATGAAAGCTATTTCTAAGGATGCCCAGTAAGGGAGCCTCATTTTTGTTATTTGCCTTTAATCTATAGTAGAACCTCTATTGCAAGATATATAGATTAAGATGAAGCAATTATTAGAGCAATATAAAGATTTTTTCCAAAAGTCTTCATAGCTTCCTACCCCCATAGAATTAGATCATCACATCAATTTGAAAGTAGACAAGTTTGTGACATATTAAAATTGGGGTTTATAAGATTTAATACTAATTCTTTTTCATCTCTTATTTTATTAGTTAAAAAAAATGGTTCATGATGTTTTTAGACTGACTATATAACACTTAATGTTGAAACCATCAAAGGTCCATTTCTAATTCATACAGTTGATGACATGCTTGATGAGCTCTATAAAACTACTTATTTCACCAAACTTGACTTGCGGTAAAGTACGAGTACATCCCATAGACATTCCTAAAACTGTCTTTTGTATTCATAACGATCATTATAAATATTTAGTCATGCCTTTTGGCCTTTGTAACGCTCAATCTACCTTTCAAGCAATTATGAATTCATATTTCTCCCATATCTCGGTAAATTTAGACCATATATTTTGAACATGTTTAAAAAGCTTTTGAAATATTAAGTTGACAGTATTTTTTTTGGTCAAAATTAGTAAATGTTCCTTTGGTCTACAAGAATTAGGGTAGTTGAGACATATTGTAACCACTCAAGGAGTTAAGGGGCCAAAACAAAATTAAAATTATGTTGAATTGGCCTACTAATGTCTCAGAGTTGCGTGTATTTTTAAGAGTTACAAGTTATTATCAAAAAATTTATCCACGACTATTTCATCATTGCATATCTTCTCACTAAGCTTCTAAGAAAGGACAACTTGGATGAACGAATGAAGCAGAAAATGCCTTCCCAAGAACTCAAAAAACCTATGAAGACTACACCAACACTTGCAATGTTGAATTTTAATGAACTATTCATCATTGAGTCAGATGCTTCAAGAGATGGTACATGAGCAGTCTTGACTCAACAAGAGAAGCCTATTGTATTCATGAGTCCAGCCCTGGGCACCACCAAATAATCATGGCAAGAGGATGCAATATCTATGCGTGTATACATTACATAATATATACGGAGCCCTCATGGGATTTTGTAACTCGTTATGTAACACCCAAACCTTTATTTATTATTTTTATTAAAATTTTATGTGATTTTATCTGATTTTAATAATTTATTCATAAGGGTGTAATTTAATTTAATTTAAATATAAATAATAATAATGATAAAAATGGTTAAAATTATTTTTTGAATTTAATTAAAAATGATTTTGGGAAAAAGGGGTGAAAATTTAGATTCTGGGGGTGTTTTTGAAAAGAAAAACGAAAATCGGGGGTCAAAACGAAATTTAGAGAAGTTGCGCCACGTCAGCAGCCCCAACCAACTAGGACAGCCCGCGTGGCAAGAACACTGACGTGGGAAGCCACGCAGGACGAGGCCACGTGGGCAATCCGCGTGCGCGCGATCGGACAACCCAGATATATTCCCGCGCGCACGGACGGCTCAAATAAAAAACGCACACAGACGGCCCAGATCTCATGCGTGCGGATGGCCCAGATTGAATCACGCACGGACGACCCAGATCGCATCGCGATGGACGGTCTAGATTAAATCGTGATAGACGGCTGAGATTAAAAGGGAAAGGTTATAAATAACCTCACCCACACCCAACCCCAAACTCTTGCTGTCAGAACCCTCACCGGAGAAAACGACCCAGCCACTAGAGGAACCGGCCACCGCCACCCGACGCCGCACCGGAGGATTTTTCGACCTTCAAACGATCTAAAATTTCTCTCATTGGCTCATTTTTTGATGCTGAATCTACTTGTGGCCAAATCAGAGCCAAACCACCGACATCTCGGCCGGAAAACACTGCTGAAGCCCAGCAGCACCGTCACAGTTTTCCTCAGTTTTTGCCTCCGATGAGGCCATTCCCGGTTCTCGTTCGATCCAATATTTACACCATTGTGATCACCGTCCCTTTCTCTACAGGTTGACCGTAGCAAAACATCAAATCGCGACTCGTGCCAGAGAAGCCGCCGCACCCAAGAGCTCCGCCGCCGGTAAGTCTCGGTTATTCGTGATTTTTTGGCCCACTGAGGGCCCTACGGTTGTTTTATCGCAGGAACTAATGCAAATTTGGCCAAATTCGGCCAAAAACGGCCAACCCAAGGTGGATCGCCGCTGCGGGCGACAGTGCCATCGCCAGAGTTCCGAAAATGGCCGAGTAGGCCTTGGGACTGTTTTTGAGTTTTTTCAGGACATGTGTAGGTACCAGAAGTGTATTTCGGTTTCCGAGGAAAGAAATTCAGGGAATCTAAGGACAGCCCGTAGGCGCAGTGAGAACCCGATTTCAGACGCCAAAACAAGTAAAGATTTCTCACCCTATTTTCTATCACGGTATTAAAGCTCAATAAATAATAAAACGACATTTCATGAATTAATACATGTGTATAATTAATTAAGGTTACTAATGGAGCCCAAATCTGATGTATTTTTCGGTCAGTTGTTGTTTGATCTATTTTACAATTTTAAATGCAGTATGGTATTTGATGTATTTATTCTATAGTTTCGTATGCATGAATCACAGTTTCGTTTATTATGGTTTGAATTATTGTGAACTCGTTATTGTCTTGTTTGGTGTTCATTACTAGTTTACGTGTTTATATTTGATTGGATAATTGAGACTAAGAAAAATAGAAAAAGGTATGTGAATTGATAAATGGATGATGTGGACAGCCTAACTAGATATCTTGGGAGATGGTGGACGGACCAGATCCGTAGGGAACCCTACCGGGAACGTAGTCTCTCATATCGGATGGGATATGGAGACCTTATGTGTTTTGGCGCCCATACCAGACGGGGTATGAGGACAGCCCGTTTCACCTTCATACTGGACGGGGTATTGAGGTTTATGGTTTTGGCGTCCATACCGGACGGGGTATGAGAGCGGCCCTGGAATCAAATTATTAATGTGAATGGTTCACGTGTAGCGGAGACCCCCTATAGATCCTCATGGATACTAGTAGGCTGATAAAAGAGGAAAATTATTGTTTGATGATTGAAAAACGAGAGTTTGATATGTGTTATGTTACAAAGTGTGCATGATTTTATGATGTTTATGATATTATTGTGTTTCATAAGTTGTCTTTCATGAATCTCACCGAGGTAAGTGAACAGTAAAGGTTTTTATTATTGATAAATGAGTTTGCTATAAATTATGCTCCATTGGTCATTTTTGTTTTCTACTAACCTTTACTCCTGTGGCAGTGAGATAGTGTGATGTCTTTATTGGGTTAGTGTAGCTCATTCCTTACTTAACCATTTCAGATCAAGAGGACTTGGTTCCCGAGCCCGTCCCGCAGGAAGACGGCGAGTAGATGACTAAGGATTTCATAGATTTATTTATAGTATTCATTACTAGTGTTTATTTAAGTTAGTTTATTCTTTCATACGTTTAATATGTTTTGGTTATTGTATAAGGGATATTAATAAAAATTTTTATTTCGCTTGTGCACTTAGAATTTTTAATACATACATTTTCTTTAAATTTCTAGGGCCGTTACACGTTCAACTTGAGTTCTCGGATAATCTAATTTTGACAGTATCATTTTTTTGTTATTATAATTAATAATTATTAAAATTTAATTATCTTTGGTAAATATTTTTTAGAAAGAAAAATGAAAATATATTAATATTTGTTTGTGGATACAAATTCACTTGTTGTCATGGCCACAAGGACATATGAAGCTATATGAATTTGTGGTGATATTTGGATGATTTTAGCATATAACATTTCATCACTTTCCACTCACACAGACAAATTAGCTTGATTTCACTGCTTATATGCATTATTGCCTAGAACGCTTGTATATACATCTGTATATGTATACATATAGATAGATATGTGTTTTTTTTTTTAAATTTAATTTAAAAGGCATTGTTTAAGCAACCAACTAAAGGGAAGACAAAAGTTCTCAAAACTTCAAATATTTTTTTACTTAAATATAATATATATTATTAAATTTATGTTAAACAGTGATTAAAACGTAAATTTAAATTATAAACCAGAATTTGAATAATTGTTAGGTTAAAGTCTTGAAAACTTTCAATGTTAGGTGACGGAATAATAAGTATTCCCAATAAATTTTATTAGTTAAGTTAATAATTAAAATATGATTCTCTATTAATATATATATATATATATATATATGCAGAAATGATATTTATTTGCGGAATACGGGCTCACATCTCTGTAAAGTTTGTATAATTGGTTTATTTTCTTTTGTAAAACCTTGAAGTTAGTAAAAAATAATAAATTTTATAATTTATTATCATTATTTAATATTGATTTGACAACTTGATCGATATATATATATAAAGAAATTGATATTAAATGGTGATTTTGTATTTTTGATATTCGATCAAGATCACTTGAAGTGAAATTCTGCAATTTCAACTATTCATATTTCAAGTTTAACCTAATTGTAGTTATGTTGAAGGAATCATTTTTAACTTTTATTTTATAACTTAAATATAATTAAATTCACCGTACATAGAGAGATATTAGCTGCTCTTTGAAGTTCACGCACTGTCACTAATTATTACAAAATGGTATTGGACCCGCAAACGAGGAAGAGTCAAAGACTCAAAGCTAAGCTGCTGCCTGAACAACTTGCATACATATATATATATATATATATATGGCTGCACCTCTCCATATATTGTAAACTTCGTCTACTTTCATTCGCTTCTTCTGTGTGTGTACATACATATCATATATATATCTCTCTCTATAAACACACACAGAGAGAGAGATTCATTCATAGAGGGAGAGAGAGAGATGGGTACCGTGAGTCCAAGCTCAACAGGGGTGAATGAAGGAGATGCAAAGACTGAAGAACACAAAGAGCTTGATGCCGGTGCTCTTTTTGTTCTTAAATCAAAAGGTATGTCTTCCTATACATACGTACACATATATATATATATATTAATTTGCTTTTGTTTAATTTTTTTTTTCTTTTTAGCCTGACTGAGGTTCATAAAACTGGGTGATTTTAAGTTTTTATGGACACACTAGTTTTATACATTTATTTGATAATTTTTCTAATACCTTATCATTTAAGATAAAATTTAACATATTATAAGAATTAATTTTCTTTTCATTATACGTAATCTTCTCTTCTTTTGCACGAGAAAAAGTGTTTAAAGAAATTTAATCCAATTTCACAAAGTATAATCATTTACCTACCACCACATAATTTGGCTACAGCTTAGTAATGATTAACCATGTTACTTTTTGGTGTTTGATATATAATGTTTAGATTAAATAAAATTTTAATATCAACTTTTTTGCTCTTTTCCCACTGGCGCCAATGAATATTCCTAGCACGCACTTTAAGAAATCGACCATTTGAGGTTGAAGACGTAATATTTTATTATTATTAAAAAATAAATAATATTAATTAATGAAACTTCTGCAATTATTTATAATAATGTGTCCACCTACTCTAATAATAAAAATAAATCACATATAATATTATATATATGTATACGTGGATGACATAGGATCATGGATGCACTGTGGATACCACTTGACGACGTCAATTGTTGCTCCTCCACTGTTAAGTCTGCCATTTGCTTTCACTTTTTTGGGATGGACGGCGGGAGTTTTAAGCCTCGTAGTCGGAGCTGCCGTCACCTTTTATTCTTACAACTTGTTATCTCTGGTTCTTGAACACCATGCTCAATTGGGTCATCGTCATCTTCGATTTAGAGACATGGCAACCCACATTCTAGGTAACTCATATTCTTGATCTCATTATACATACATATATATATATATATATATATTACAATAAATAAGTTTTATTTGTGAATTTTATTTAAAATATATATTAATCAATATAAATTATAACTTGACTCCTATATTTTTATGAAATTCTTTGGCCAAAAATTTCTGATAATGGTCCTACATATGCTCAATTATCGCATTAAGTTGCGTACATGTTTTTGTTCTTTTCTTACATATTAAGTACAATGCACCCGTTTTTTATTCATGATTTTTCTCACTAATTAAATTAAAATTTTACCTAGTGATCTAAGATTCAATACAATTTTTTTCATAGTTAAATATATATATAAATAATCAAACGTATATAACTACAAGGCCTTCTATAAATATAACAACATAAAAGAGAAGGCCTAGTGTAAAATATTAAAATACTCATAAATTGAGCTAAATATAGAATTTATTTAGAACTAAACTGTTATTTTTATTTAAATTTTAATTAAATTTATATTATATTACAGCTTTAATTTTATAAAACTAAAAATTTAAACCAAACTAAACTATATTTAGAAACAATAATTAGATTTATTGTTCATTCTAACTCTTTTTTTTTTTAAAAAAAAAAAAAAAGAAAATATGAATTAATTAAATTGGTGGGGACTTGAAAATTAGTGGTTTTAGTGACTGAGCCACATTCAAAGGTGGGAACCGCTTTTCTAAGTCAGCATTAATGTCTGTTGACTCTCAGCTGTCCTTGACCGTTGACCGCTATAAAGCGTGTTGCCTGATGTGTACCAATGGCTTATTGTAAAAAATTTTAAAAGCACAAATTTTTTTTGTTATATCTTGAAGAAGAAAAATATGTGAAAATTAGTTTTTATTTTAATTTTAAATATTTAAATTTTTTTGTGTTTATTAAATAATATTAAGGAATTTTACTATTTTTATTAAAAAAATTATTAAAACATGTGTATTAAAAACAATTGTATAAATTCATACATACAATTAAAACACACTAACTAATTAGTGGTTTATCATTGTTTTTGGTATTTGTCGAATCAAATACATTTACAGATTGAAAAAATAATCAATTCAGTCAAGATTTAATCTATTTAATTAAAATTGATTGTCCTTTAGTGTGTTTTTCTTACCTATATTCTTTTTTTTTTCCTTATATATATAATGAAGTTGTAAAAGCTAGTATGGACCTAATCATATAACAAACTTTTAAAGACCCAGAACCTTAAACAAAATAAATATATACTATAATAGCGGAAAAAATTAAGAGTTTAGGATTTACATTCATTACATAATGAATCGGGATGCCCAATAGGATTACGAGAATGTCCATTTAAGAAAGTCTCAATAACATAATAAATAAATAAAAAAATACACTAAAATCTTATAAAGTTAACCTCCGCTGGTCAACTCTAATAGGATGCAGGAGACAGCTTTTATTCGCAACCTTCTTACAATTTAGGATTTGGATTTTCGTCTTCCGAAAATATGAAATGGTTAAATAAGAGGGATGAACTACACTAACTCAATAAGAATATCAAGCTTAACACCGATACAGAAAATTAAATATTGGTAAAAATCGTAAAACAACCAATTGATTCATTATCTCTTTTTAAATAAATTCATTTAGCATAAAAATTGTATTTTTCATACTTACCCATATGAGTTTCCAAAACCGATCAATGAAGACAATACCCAGGATAACATTTTATTATACATTTAAATGAACGATAACAGTAAACTTGCCTTCTTACTCGCTTACCAATACCTTTGGGGGTCCATAAGGATCCCCCATACGCGTGGATCCAATATCCAATTTATCATTTAATTGACTGTTCTCATATCCCATTCGATAATTGGTGTCAAACATACCACCGCCTCAATACCATGTCCGGTATGATGGTGAACTATACCTCTTAACCTCTTCTGGTATGGAATTTCTTAGCTCTGTTCGACTAAGATAATGTCCACAGTAGAGTTTTTTCTATGCACTTGGTCTGTACACTGTTCTCCAAGGTACTCAATAAACCTTCATACATATATCCACATTATTAATCAATCACCAATTACATACCAACATTTCATATTTACAGATCAATAGTAAGTTATGCAAATAAACAACATAAAAAATAAAAAAAAAACATGATTAGAACATTTGTTTCGAATAAGTCAATAGGTGAGAATAATCAGCCAAGTAATCAATGAACGAGAAAGTAATTTAAATCAATAAATAATAGCAATTTAGGTAGTATAGGAATAAATAGACAACACAACTAGGACAAATATACACTAACCGATTCTGACTCCATTGATGACTTGTAATTAAGTTAAAAATTTTAATTTTTATAAACACACTATTATTAATTATTAAAATTTAATTTACTGCAATAGGAGAAAAGAGTGAGGGATTCTTACATTAGATCGGTATTCAAAATATCGTTTTTTTCAATGCGCTTCCTAGCAGTCTTCAAGTTTCCTGAGTTTTTTCTGCAAAAATTAAAAACACATGTTACGTATTTTAAAATACCCCAAAAAGGCCAAAATGAGCACTTTTAAATTTTTCTGGCCAGTTTAGGGTTCCGGCACTGCAGTGCCATTGAGCTCCGGTGTAGGCTCCGCCGCCCACGATGACATTTTCTCTCGGCCTAGCCGTTTTTAGCCAGTTTTGGCCGGTTTTGCATGCAAAACCTGTAAAAAATAGGATTAGGGAGCCTTTTTTGGTTTGAAAAGGGAAGAACCGAAACCCTAACCAGTAGAGGAATTTTCTGGTGCGGCAGCTCCATCGTTCCTTTCTTACGGTCGGGGCTTCCCTTCAGTTAACCCGCAATAGAATGATACAAGGAACACGAAGGTCAAAAAAATGAGAGAAACGGAAAACAGGAAGGAGCTCATTGGAGGACATTTTAGGTTGCGGTCGCAATGGCTCGGTCGAGTTCTGCTCGCATTTTTTGGCTCATCTTTTGGCTTTTGGCTCCGATATGGGTGTGGGGACGTTCAAAATTCAATTTCGAACAAAAAGAGAAATTATTTTTACCTTTTCAGCATTGGTGGTGGCTTTGGTGCAGCGGCGACAGTGGCTAGTCTTCTTTTCTGGCGACTGATTCGATTTTCAGCCACCCCACTGTTTCTTCTCTGATCTTCTCTTTGGCAGCTAGGGTTAGGGTTTCTTATGAAGGGGAGTTTAAATACTCATCTTCATTAAATCTAGATCGTCCGTTCGAGGAGACGTGACCCATCCTCAACTATTTGATCGCTCTTATTTGAAAAATTAATATGTGCTGCACGATTTGTTCAAATCCAGCCGTTCGATCGCGCCTAAAGAGAAATCGGATCTGGGTCATCCGTGTGCACAAAATGCGATCTGGGTCGTTGGATCTGCTGGCACGCAAATCGCGTGCGTGGCCTCTCACATGGACGCGTGTTTATGTGTCTGCCATGCGGCGCGCGGAGACCAACCACATCGATGACATGGTAGTCCATGTGGGCAAAATTTTATTAATTTTGTTTTCGCTCCAATTTTTCAGATTTCTTTTCAACTAGGTCCTCCTTTATCTATACTTTAGTCTTGATTTTTGAAAATATTTTTAAATGCATCCCAAATCCTAATTTTCTTAAAAAATTAAAATTAAAATTATTTTAATATATTATTCCATATATATTAAATTATTTCGGGCCAAATTTTGGGGTCTGAGTGTTACAATTCTCCCCCTTTAAGAAAAAAATTTGGTCTCTCAAATTTGTCACTTTCTCACTGGTCAAACAGTTGGGTTACTGGATCCTGAAGTCTGATTTTAACTCTCAAGTGTCCTCATCGTTCAAGTGATTCTGTCATAAGATCTTGACGAATAAAATTTCTCTGTTGTGAAGCACTCTGCTCTTCCACTCGAAAAACAGTTACTGGTACTTCCTCATAGGATAGATCCCTCCTAAAGTGAAAAGTGGCTCATGAGACAAGATATGTGAGGGGTTTTGGATTGTACTTGCGTATCATAAACGCATGGGAATATATTATGGACTTCAGATAACTCTGGAGG